TGGAACCACTTCTTTTACAATTCCCCTTACAATCTTGGTCCTTGCAGTCAAACAACCTTGGGCGGGGTTGCTTCTTACCGAACATTTTTCGCATAGGCCTTTTTGCTGTTCCAGGGGGCCATACAGTGCGGGAAGCAACTATAACAGGGTTAGAAAGTATTAAGAAAGGGGAAGGATATTGGGTGACTCTGTACCAGCGAGCCACTAGGGAGATACAAAACTCTCTATCTCTCTAGAAGATGGCTATATTTTGGTGGTGCTCCATGCTAGCATAGGATTCTTCAAGCCCCCTCAAGATAGCAGAATGCAGCTATTCATGGCTGCGGGAGTTAGCACAGGTAGGAGAGGCCTCGTTGTAAAAGGGTGCTTTTTTCATCTAGCCTTAATAGAACTTCACGTAGATGGACCTCACCGTAGTACTCTCTGTAGTACGGGAGGTGTTTTTCGAATTCCATCTCGATCTTTTTTTCTTCTTCATGACTCTTAGCACGACCATAAATCTCGTCCAGCAGACTAAACACGTTATACTGCTCATTTGGGTTGTATGAGCGCCACCCAATCAGGCACGCGGAGAAGAAGATGACCGCCCTGAACCCTGTGGTCTTCGGCTTTGCGTGAATCTTGCCGCCTCCAATTATCGAAAGAGTTCCCGGTTTCACCCGTCCATCCGTAATTGATTTGCTGAAGTGATCAATTCTATTGAGAGGAGAAAGTAGTGAACAAAAATTTTTTAGAGTGGGATCATTGAAATGGTCGATACCGAGGTCGATGCACGCGTCCTCGAGTGACATCGTTGCGGATGAATAAATCGTACTTTCACTTTCCGTGAGAATCAAAGCAAACTGATAAGCGCCCATCTGTAAGTCGATGTGATATATTTGTTGCTCCGATTTCCATGAAAAAATCAATGAAAATGCGGAGAAGGCATACTCTTTTCCGAGTTCCTTTGAGGCTGCCTCTACCGCGACGTCGGCCCACCGAATCAGATTGCATTTCACATCCCGATCGAGGCCCTCAAAAGCGTCGTAACTGACATCACCATCATCCGCCGTTCTGGCCATCACCTCTTGCTGTGCTAATGCCAAGGAGGGGATGTAGATTTCATTTGCCGAGTCTATTTCGACCAACCCCCCCTCTTCTGAGTCTGTTAACAGTTCTTGCAATTCCCTGTTTAACTCATCTATATCATCCTGTGTCACTGTTACAGCACAAGGGAGGACGGAGGGATCCTCTACGGGGGCCTCCGAAGTGTGGGTTGTTGTTTTTTTCCTCTTCTTTTGTGTTGCCGTTCCTTTTAGGCAGCCCTGACAGAGGCCACCATTGGAACCACTTCTTTTACAATTCCCCTTACAATTTAGGTCCTTGCAGTCAAACAACCTTGGGCGGGGTTGCGTGTTACCGAACCCCGCACATGGACAAGGCTTCGTAAACTCTCCCATTTTTCGCGGCTCAGCGTGAGCGTGGCGCCCTTGGTGCCGCCGGCCCGGGCCTTGGCTTCCGCGGCGTCGGCGACGGCTTCGGCGGCCTGCGCGGACGCGTCCGTGGCGCTTACGAAGACTTCGCGCGCCTAGATCCGGCTTGGGGATCTGCAAGCTAAATATTTAGCTATTTAGTTTGTATTTAGTTTGTATTTAGTTTGTATTTAGTTGCGCTGGCGTCACTTCCGAGGTCCCTGCTCTCTCCCGCCTCCCGCGGCGGATGGCGCGCCCCCTGGAAGATAGTGTAAAGAAACTAAGTCCCGTACATCAACTTGACGTTAAGGTACAGTCCGTAGTAGCAGGATAGGCACAGTGGGTGAGAGGGGAAGCTCAGTGTGCTACCTTACGGTAGCGCAGTCATAAGATAGTAACTGATTATAAAGGAGGGGGAACGGGAAGGAAGGCCTAACTAGGGTAGGTACAGTACTAGCATGATGGTAGTAGGGTAGTGGTAGTGTAGCGTACTGTACTACAGTATAGTCATGGAGATATAGAGATAGAGAGAGAGAGACAGACATCAAGGTCAGTCTATATTCTTTGCACTCCCCCATCATAGTTGCCCTGTGATCAATGTACTTGTAATGATCAATGGGACCTATGATAAATGAACTATGTCTCCAATTGAGTGAGGCGTTCCTGCAAGTCGGCAACAAGTCTTTCCAAAGTCATCACACGCACGGCCAGATTTGGTTGTCCTGGAAGAGCTATGTCTCCCTGTGGTGGAGCAGGGGGTTCCTGCAAGGCTGTGGGTGGATATAGCATTAAAACCTGCGATGTCGGCTCTGAGAAAAATTGTTTGAGGTTCCGTATCCAGATAGCTTCCTGGGCTGCAATGTTTAGAGCAATCAGTTCAGATTCATGAGTGGAAGTAGCTAGTATAGGCTGCAGCTTAGATTTCCATGAGATCAAGTTGCCCATGAAGAAGAAAGTGTAGCCTGTCGTTGACTTCTTAGACTCTTCCATCTTTGGTAGGTGATCAGCATCACTGGCCCCCCAAAGATCCTTACTGCACACAGGATCAAAAGCTCTGGGTGCATCAGATTCAGGTAAGTCATGACTGGGCTTGATGATGCCTAGGGAGTCCCATTTGTAGGAGTCTTTCGGTACAAGATCAAGAAGAGTCTTGTCTTCGTGTGCGCTTGCTTTCAAATGCTCAAAGATGGGATGCTTGTCACGGTAGTAAACTAGCTTCAGTCCCTTTGTGCCATTTAGATACTGAAGGAGTTCCCTAAGGAGGACCACATGTTGCTCAGTGGGACCATGCATGCCTCTGGAGACTCGACTTACAGCCTGAGTAATATCGGGCCTGCAAGTGATGCTGATATAAATAAGAGAGCCAACAATAGATGCATAGTTCTTAGTGTCATGGAGGTACGCCGTTAACTCCCTGTTATCCTTTACAAGGGGTTTAGCATCTGATCTCATTGGGACAGATTTTGTCCCTATGCCATTTAGAATTGGTCGTTCTTTGAAGAGTGCGTTAAGCTTCTCCTCAACGTCCATAGCAAGGCGCCCAAGGTGCTTATCATATTTGATGTTGATACCGAGGAAGCTAGACATAGGCTCAAACTGTGAGATGTTGAACTCAGCCTTAAGTTGGTCTCTGAGTTCGACTACCATTCTCGGTGAGCCAGTGATGACAAGATCGTCCACTTCGCAAAGGACAAAGAGATTTTCCCGCAGGCCGTCTGATTGTACTTTGGTCTTATGATACAAAGAGGTTTCAGACGTGGCACGCGTGAATCCCAACTTTTCAAAGAAGGATGTCAAAGCCTTGTTCCAGAGCTGTGGAGATTGTTTGAGTCCATAGAGTGCTTTGCGCAACTTAACGACGTCACCTGATTTACCATTACGTTCAACAGTGACGCCTCTTGGAAACTTCAGATAGGAATCACCATCAATCTGACTTTGTATAAAAGCTTGTGGAATATCGCAGTGCCAAACATCGAAGCCTTGATTGACAGCTAGGGAGAACATCATTCGCACAGCAGTAAG